TACTTGTGGAGGTTGGGGTCTTGTGTCGTTGGCGTGTACTTGTCCCTAAAAGTAGGCCATATCTTGGACATATACGGCTATGTTTGAAGCTCTAGAAAAAACGAAGTAGGATGTCATTTGAATTCAATCTTTTAAAAGGAATACATATATGTATTGTGTATCAAATAAGGGCTTGTGGAGGTTGGGGTCTTGTGTCGTTGTTGTGTAATTGTCCCTAAAAGAAGGCCATATTTCAAACATTTACAGAATTAGGCATATTTGACGTTCTAGAAATGACAAAGTATGATGTTTTTAGAATTCAATCTTTTTCAGGAAGTACATATATGTATTGTGTATCAAATGAAGGATTGAGAAGGTTGGGGTCTTGTGTCATTTCAAGTTGTTATTGGTGTCCCTGATATTAATGGCTAATGTTTCTCTTGTGTACGTAAAACATTTGAAGCTCTACAAGGTTGTACTGTCAATTTAATTCATTAATTTTTTTCCATCACACATGTCTATCATTAGGTTAGGGTCCTGTTTCGCTTTACTTTTCCCTAGAAGTAGAAGTAGACCAAATTTATATACTCTACAGCATATGGATATCTCCCTTATTTTTTTTTTTACTTCGGTGAGTGAGTATAAACTAGAGAAAGTTTTCTTTGTAAGTCAGGCCAAAAGGGTTAAGATGATTTCTTTGTGTCTCATGAAGTAATGTATAATGTTGGTGACAGGATTTTTTTATCAACTATACCAAAGCTCAAAGTGAGTGCAGAAAGAATATATATGTTGCTGGCTCCTTGTGTTGACCACAGGCATTATCCCCAGCCCTCAGAGATTAGTGGATCTCCCCTCATGCGTGGGTAGGTGGATAAGAAACTGGAGAACTCCTTATCTCTTTGTATCCAGACAGGGTTAATTAATTTTTTTTTGTCCAGACAGGGTCACTCGGTCAGTCTGTCTGCTTCCTGGGCAAAGGCACAGTGTTGATCTTTTTTACAAACTATTTTGAGGAATCTTGGCCTACTTTTGAAACATTTCTGAAAGTTTAAAGGATATATCATATCAGTGTAGACGTCTAGGGAAGAAGTTTGCTGTAATCCAGACATGGCGGGTTACTGAGGATCGATCAACAGCTTAACCATCAATGGGATTAGCGCTTGAGTTACCCCAACAAATGGTTAGTTACAAATCATGATATCTTGAAAATCCCTTTTTAACCCTAAACAGTACACCTGGGGTCCGCGCGGACCCCAGCACTGTATATGCTGTAATATATTTTTTACCATTTTCGCATGCGCAAAAATTATGATTGCTAATTTCATTGGTTGTTAATTGGTTGAAATTATGGTTGCTAATTTCAAAATCATAGTTCTATTAATGTTGCATAACAAAGCTGCTGACAAAACAAACTTAATTTGTCTTGAACAATAACTTGATTTTATTATTTGCCAAAAATGTTGATAAAGACATGTCTATAATCACAGTAATCAAGGATTTTAATAAACTGCATAAATTATGTCAATGAGCATTAGCAGTGTGGATTAGTCTAGATGTTCAGATTTCCATTAGCCGGCAGTCCAGAGGGTCACACGCCCGACCAATCAAGGCGCTGCAGGCAAAGCTTATTAAAAGCCTCCTTTTCAGGCGTTCCCGGATCGGTGTTTGTGTGTGTGTGTGTTGGGGGGGGGGGGTATTTTCTGACCAAACGTAGATCGCACGCAATAGAAGCTCCGGCCTACATAGCTGTCCGTGGAACTATTGATATTACCTGGGGTGCCTAACTTTCACCAACATGTCTTTTGTATTTTAGGAAATTAATTAATTAATGAGTGAGTGTTTCATTAACTTAAATAGGTATTGCATTGTTTGGCAAGGTATTTTCCATTGACAATTTTTAATGGATCAGGTTGATCAGATGATATAATGTAAACAATTATATATGATTAGTAAAAGATGACTTTTGAAGTTCTGTTCGAGTATTATTTTAGGGTTGAATCAGGGTCAACGCGAAAAAAAAATCATGATCCGGTGATCGACATCATGCCCCCCCGCACACTTCATGTATTCAGTGTTCTAAATACCCGTCTTCAGTCTGCAATTTGCAGATAGATTTTCAAGATTGCAGGATAAAAATTACACAATCTGCAATTTGAAGAATGAAAAAAAAAAACTATGGTCCTCACAACTTCATATTCCCTTTGTTTGACCCGCCCGGCGCCCAAATCCCGCTGCGATTCAAGCCGCGGCGGCTTCTCGAGCCATGCAAATAAACCTAGTCCTGACGTCACAGCCTCCGATTTCCACCGAGGCAGCCCCGAGCGCATGCCGACAGCGAGGGATGTGGCTCAGATTTCCGACGATTTCCTTATTTAGATCATTCGGAAGACTTCGGGTAGCAAACAAAATGGCCGCCATGCACATGATTTTATACTAGTAGCTTCGCTTCTCAACCGAAATGAGGAAGTTTAACCTCATTTGCAGACTTTAGTGGCCATGGAGTTGATTTGGGGAAGTGCTGAGACGCGATTTCGCTACGGCATATGGGATTTTGCCGCGGAGGGAGTTACGTACGCCGGCAAAAACTTGCTTCAGCGATCGGCTCCAGAAAATTTATCTTTATGCTGCCGCTCAAGTCTTCGAAGGTGGTTTAACGAAGTTTATATAAATGATAAAGCCACTTTGCGTAGATCGATCTCCGTTTTCTTGCGATGGTATGAAAATTCAAGTACAGTATATTTTCAAAACGTTTGATATTTCTTTGTTCGTTGTCACATGTTGTTTATTTATCTTATTGTCATGTACAGTTACCAGCGTGAGTCTGAGTCGAGCCATTGTTCTTATGTGGCCGTTAGCACATGTTGTTTAAACAGACAGCAACATTGAAGAAAAGAACCGAGTTAACAGACGTCGGCACGTTCCTTGAAGTCAGGTTTCCCGCCGTATTTAAATACGAAATGTGTGGGCCCGCGGCGTTTTGAAAAGGCGCGACGCGCTTTGGAAAGACCCCGCGCCGTGGCTCATTCAAATTCGCTACATTTTTTGCTAAGTTTAATGTCTTCATCCACGATTTTTGACCGTCAATGTTGACGGTAAGGACTTAAATTTTTACCGTCCGACGGGAAAAAATACCGTCAATTGACGGTAAAACGGGCGCTGGCTAAAGCCCTGGTTGAATGTCACGAGGTTTGTAAACTTAGATGTTGGGGACAAAGCCATAGAAGAGATTTTGAATAAAATTATATATATATATTAACGTTACTTATAATTTAAGTTAAAATGTACTTTTGTGTCTCATTTTTTTATTCTGTTAAAAAGACTCTTAAAAGAGAGAAAACAGGTTATAAACTGTTATATACTTGATTTTTGTAATGTTTTAAACTTAAAGAGTTGAAATATAGAAGTGCATGTTCTCTCATTATATACAATGTTGATGAGAACTAGAACCATTTATATAACTTAGGTAAATTGAAATGCTAGGATGGGGAAAATGCTAGAATGCATTGCACTATGGTACGTTCCACCACCATATACTCCTCAACCATCCACCAGTTCGTAAAAACTGTAAGCCTGTAAGCGGCGAAAATGGTCAGCTTTTGCAGAAGCACTTGTTTTGTTTGTTTCTGAAGATTTTTTTCTGAAATTTCAGGTAATTGTCACACGCGGTTAGTACAACACAGCGGTGCTTTTTAATGTTTAAATCACTTGTAGATTTAGACATTGGTTGGTAATGACATGCCCAGTTTTACAGCGCCTGAGCCATATTTTAGACTCTAAACTACCAAAACCAATTCAGATGTGTGAAAAAAAAAGAACTTGCAAGTACAGATAGACGTTTTGCATCATAAAGCAATATCCTTGATTATGTGACAAGTATTTGGGTCATTCTATGTGGTCTGATATTGTTACATTGGAAACCAGACTGAGTATAGGAATATATTTGGATCTTTTGGAAACTGATCAGTGTGGAAATATTTTCCTTCCTTTGTTTTGGGGGCTAAACGGTGTTTTGGAATTTATTTAGTTATAGATGTATTGATAAGCGGCATGACACCTATTCTAACCAGCAGAGTAAACGATTCTGACCCGCCTTTATTACATATATGACAGCCCGCCGGATCGAGAGTGTCACATTGCCACCAATACAGAAATTAACTCCGGTCCAAAATCAGAAGCAGTGAAATAGATTTTCGTAATAATTACATTGATGACTGTGTAGGTGTAACTTGAAGACTCATAATTTGATTATATCAAAAGGAAACTCTCCTCATTTATGTACAACAGATTTTGCCAAACCTACAGTTTAGAGCAACCCTGTATGTGGCAGTTATCTTGTGGTTGCGCTACTTGTCTGGCCACAAGACCGCGCTAACAGCTGTGATATCACTGCTGGCTATATAACTGTCGTTATTTGTTGTCTCGAATCAATAACCCTCACAATGTTAATAAGTTGACTTGCCTTGTAGTTCTAAGTTTATTCATTTGTTTCTCAAATTGTATTGTGTGATTTGATTACTTTTGTATTGTTTTGTCATTTTATTGGTATGGCGGCTTTGAAAAGGTGTTTCATGTCAGAAACACCTGTTTCGTCATGCCATCCAGAGTGCATATTGTACGTGGTAAAGCTTGATAAATAAATGAATACATATTACAATTTTTAATTAGTAATCATTAAGAAAATTGAGGGTATCCAAGGTTGCGTTATCATCTTTAAATACTCACCGATTTGTGAGGCATGATATAATGATCTACATGTTCTGACTGTAAGTCTTCGAAAGGTCTATTGTCATCCGCTACAATTATCCGCATCTTGGGGTAGTATGTCTGGATGCTTTGGATGAGGAATCTTACTGATGGGTACCTCAGGAAGGTCTTGGTGAGGATTGTAACCTTGTCATTTATGTCACCTGTTATAACGAAGAAAAAACACATAAGATCTAGTTATATCTAGATCTATTATCTTTTCATCTTTTTTATGTATACGTGTATATTTCATATCAATTATGCACTAAAGATGTATGTACACAATTAATAAAACCAAGCTCAAAAAAGCCCGGTCTAGATAGGGTTAAGCTCCTTTTTGATATATCCCATTTGGAAGTGAAAGGTCCCCGACGCTTTTTCATTGTTCTAGAGGTTGGGTCTGGATACTGTCTAGTGGATCTTGAGGTAGGTTGATGTTCTTTAAAAGAGCTTATTCACCACACGTCATCATGACGTCACCACCCCTCATGTCCCGTGCGACGCCATTTTGGGATGCATCTCTACAGCGAGTTTCCAAGCGTTGAAATGGCCTACAAACGTTAGGTAAACTGTCCTTTGTCCAATTACACGAAGAGTTTACCACCACTTATACTTATACCTCTTGTTACTGGAAGAAATCTGTTGGGATGGACCCATCTGTTGGGATTGACCCGTTTTTGTTGCGCCAGCGGAGTCCATTGACGCGACTTAGCTTCGTATTTGGCACTCATGGGGCAGAGGTTTTTACACACAGGATCGGTTTCAAACCCTTTACGAGTCTGGAAGCGTTGTATCAGGATGTGTAGAGAGTGTTGTGGGACATGCAGTTGCATGGTGACAAGTACGTTGTAGTCGGGATACGCAAAAGGTCTGTCGCTATTTTGGAACGGCCCCGGACTGTGTCTGGATAATAACAAACAAATGCGGGGCCATCCGACGCCGGCCGCCATCCTAAGTCCGCACTGCCGCGACTGTGGCTGGACAAGGTGAGTGTTACACGTTGCCAGCGCCCTGTTCTACATGGGCATTTACCACAGAGTAAAGGGACAGGTAGCTCCGACAGATTTACCGTGTTCGTGGCTACCCACGTTGACATCTACAGCCCTCTACGCCGCGCCAGGGTAAAACACACCGATTTCTAATCAGCAAAAAAAGATAAAAGCCGATCTTGAGAACATGAGACGTGGACATGGAGTCAGAACAACCCCAAGGACAATGTTACGAACAAGAAGAGTGTTCAAAACGTAGATTATATTGTGGCCCAAAATACGCAACTATCGCCAAGAGTTTGTATAGAGTACCATGCTGCACCCCCAAATGGCGGACAATGCTCGTTGCCGGGGAAGCGTCACGTGACAATCTGTGGTGAATAAGCCTGTCCCTTTCTGTGTACGGCGGCTTACATCCACACAGTTGTGGGTACTTCATTGTGGACCAAATCATGATTTTGTAGATCGTAGCTCTTTCGTTGGGATGCTATTATAAAGAGACTCTTCTTTGCATACCGAGTCATCTTCTCGCTTCATGTGACATTTTATCAAAATATTGTGGTCAAGTCAAATTTCTCTTAACCCTCAAACACCCGAACGGGGTCCATTTGGACCCCAGGCGTATATTTTTAAGCGCTATTTGAATTTTTTTTTCATCCGAGAAAAAATTTATCCCGTGACTTTGTCGATAAATCTCTTCTAAAAGTTCTCCTAATTTTTTTTGGAGATCGGCACAAATTTGTAAAAATAACAACGGAAGTCATATGTAAGACCGTCTGGGGTCCAAACGGACCCAAGCCATGAATTTGCACTTTCCAACACACAAAATTGTTCGGATGTCCTCAATATGTCTTGAAGGAAGCATAATTGCTTTGATATTATGCAGTTTGCCAAGTAGCTCAACCTTAGGAATTAGTTCATCGGGTTTTTAGGGTCTGACAATTTGACAACAATATGAGGTCAAAGGTCAACCCCATGTTCATGCCTGCATGCCTCATCCCATTTTTGGACAAATTATAATAATGACCTGAAATTTTTTAAAACACTTAATCTTGCCAAAATATACCTCTTACTATGTTTAACCAATACATGTATATATGCAAAGATCGTCGCCTTTTCTCAGAACGGTCGTCGCCTTTCCGAACGGTCGTCGCCTTTTCTCAGAACGGTCGTCGCCTTTCCGAACGGTCGTCGCCTTTCCGAACGATCGTCGCTTTTTCTCAGAACTGTCGTCGCCTTTTCTCAGAACAATCGTCTCCATTCCCGAGCGACTGAACCTTAGTTCCAAATATCCTCGGCATGTTCGTGACTTCCCGGAGTTCTTGGAATGTGGGATTGACACTTCCCGAAGATAACATGGCGACTGAACACGGACCAGAAAAGTAGTTTATCTCCTCACTATTGCTGATTTTTCTTAGATCAGCGTACGATTGTAGGCCTAGTACGATTGTAGGCCTTGTAGATCTATCAAGCTCTTGGGACGTCGCTCTGTAACGCAATAATCTTATTTAGATATTTTTGATCGTATTTTGTCCGTACCTTAGGTTTTTATTAGTTATTTTCTTTCCTTTTTTGTATATAATTGGTAATTATCTCTTGTTTTTTTTAGATTACCTTTAGATTGTTTTTTTAGAACTTGTCAGTTACCTTTTGTTTATTTAGAACCTACTTTACAACATGGATTGTTTTTGTTTATTTAGAACTTTATTCTTGTACCGAAAATCTCCTCACATCGTACTGATGAAGAGTACCGGAGCACCTATATACTCGAAACGTTTGCACATTAAACTTTTAATTATCCAGTTGAAAAAGACTTAACAACTTTATCTATTGATTGTAGGCCTAGTTCTTTCCCAACCTTTTCTTGTTTCCCTTTGCCCACCAACTCAAGAAGAGTGCATATAATACCGTTAATCACATATGGCCAATGATTCAATCAAGGAGTTAGAACTCCATACTTCAACCAAAAGGCAAACATAGATTCCTTGTGCTATTTCTCAATCCCTGTATTTCTTTCTTCTATGTAAAATTTATGTAGGTTGAATGAAAGTATGTCAGAAGGAGGGGGGGGGGTAATGTCCATTTTATGTCTCTTAGTTTGACGGGAGTTTTGACAAACTTTTTTTGTTAATTATTTTGTGTCTGTCTTTTGTTACCTAGCTTGTTGCTAACGTGTATGTTAATACTTGACACATACTTTGTAAGTGAATATTTGACACCTTTACTGTAGGTAAATACTTGACACATTCACTGTGTAGCACATCAATGCCATGCTGGTGACAAGATTAAAATACAGTCTGATATGCTGTGCGAGCATCTCAGTGTTATCTGAGACGACAACATAAAACCCGGCTGTTGGTCATGAGTATAAGTATGAGTAAAGTCAGTCTTGAGTAATGAGTCAGTCAGTCAGGGTAAATCCTCACGGTTTGTGATGTGTTTCCGAATAAGTCAGAACTTCCTACAGCATTCATAAATCATATGCTATCACAATGGGCTGTTCCAAAAGGAGTTTTCTCACCCAAGTTTCAAATTCAGCAAATATTTATGAAAACCAGTTTCAGTCCAAAGTTACCCAAACCCTTCCCGTTCCAATCGAAAATTGCCAAAACACTAACCTAGTTCTAACATAAAAAATTCAACTTAGGTACTCCCACCAAATTTATAATACTAGTACCCACAACCTAAATCCTCCTAGCACAGGTCTGGCCCGTCTACGGTCGCCATGTTATATTCGGGAAGTGTCAATCCCACATTCCAAGCACCCCGGGAAGTCACGAACATGCTTCGGATATTCGGAACTGAAGTTTGGTCACTCGGAAATGGCGACGCCCGTTCGGAAAGGCGACGCCCGTTTACGAGACTGAAATTTGAGTCTTCTCCGGCCACCTTAGATTAGACAGAACCCACAAATCCAAAGGTCCGGGTGGTTTCCGTCTACGTTAGTCAAAATGCGAAAAGAACTACTATAGCTTATTGCTCATACTAATATTAGAAAAAAATACCTTTGTCTTAAAAGTATTGGCCATAAAAAATTGGTGCCAGGAAAAAAGGAAGGAGTTCAAAGCAGTGAAACTAAATCTTTATCCAGATTAGCTGCATATAGTTGTGGTGTATGGGAGATAAGAGATTTTGCTAACATTGTCCTTTATGATTATAGGGTCCTCCTTTTTTAAAATGCGTGTTCCACATCAGACAATTTTTAATGTAACACCGAGTACGGGTGTGTTTTTGTTCTTGCCAAAGCTAGATCACAGTACTAAGCCATCCTGCCTAATATCTAAAATATAGTTGATATAAAACCCCGTTACGGTAATATATATATTGTCTTCAAAATATACTCTAAAATACCTTAATCCTTACGTAATTATAGATTCATACTCAATTAATCCATACCTGGTCTGGGGTCATAGAGTATTGGTGACCTCCTTACACGAATGTTAATAGGGAAAATTGCTTCGTGGTGCAGGTAAACAAAGCGCACTGAAATACAAAGGAAAGTAGATATTTGTGTTACTTTTCATAGGAATAAAAGAGAACGATCAAAATGAGTATGTATATTTGGCCTGGCCGTAAATTGAATGTGATTCTTTACGGAATTTAAGTTCTAAGACGCCATAATAATGATGGTTTATTAATTTCAAATACACAGATTCCACTTGGCAGCCACGGCTGAGGTACGTGGACTGTCTAGATTGTGGCTTAACTAATATATCATAACAGCATAATGGTTTTCAAATATCAAGTTAAAAATGGCGCGGGTAAGTTCCGAAATAGATTTAAAACATTACATAGTCGATCTATATTTGTCTTCATCAGAAAGACTATGGAACTGTCTCGCCGCGTTGTGGGTGACTGCGTATTTTACAGAATAACTCATTTGCATAAGTTATATAAGTTGTTTATATTCTTCACCCAGTTCTAGCAGTCTTATTATAACCCTATTCAGGACGGGCTTTCTTTGGTCATGCCGGGACGGGGGAAGCGGGGGGCGCCCACTTTAACTCAGAAACTACTAGAGAATTGCATACTCATGAAGTCAATTTTTGCCCTCCAGCCTAATTGATTACTGACCCGACTTTCCTGCGTAATTTACAATTTCCTGATGTTTTCTCTCCAAAATTGCTGACATGTTTTGATGGTGCACCCGATACATCCTCCATTATCAGTACATACTGTAAAAGGTGGATGACCATTATGCCGAATTACGGAGATGGTGGACGCCTTCTTTCTCTCAGGAGACAGCATTTAGTAGTAAGTACGAGCTGGAAGAGATAGCGCACAAGGCTTAGTGATATGTTGGTAATCAGGTTTCTTGTCCTTGGGGTCATGGGTTACCAGGCTGTGTCATGACCTGTGCGACTGACCAGGAAGGCTTGGGACAGGGGAACGTTGCGGTTTTAGTACTACAAAACGCAGCATAATCTGCTCATACTGTCCCAGTGATACTATAAAATGATGATTTGGCAAACCTCAGCAGACTCACTGTGGTTCGTGGTAAAACAACCACAACAAAACCTGCGCGGTATCCCGATCGACGTGCCGACGTTTTGGGTATCGTCCCACACCAAGGGGCTAAAAATCACCTTTTACCTCCGGCCTTCATGGTCGCTTGGAGGCCTAACAAGGTACGTGTGTGCTAAAATACTTCTTCATGTACGTCTCCTGGGCATATCCTACCGATGTTGTTCCTTTTCTGTGTGCTATTACGTTAGATTTTCCGAGCACGGGTATGTATGACTGTATGTGAACTTCGCGCGGTTGGGGTGCGGTGTGTGTGTGTGTGTGTGGGGGGGTATTTAGTTTTGGGGTGAGAAATTCTTACATGTATCCTACCTTAATTAAAGTTGCACTGGTCGTAAAACCTTGGAAAAGGGCCATTAATAAAACAAAATAGGTCTTGAGGGCAGAAAATCATGCCCTACAGATAACGTTACATGATATTAAGGTTTAGTTCCAACTTATTGTTGCCATAGCAATGGCACTGTTTGTATGATATCTCCAATAGACCACCTGAAGAAGTCCCACAGTGACTGACACATTGCCTTTCGCCAGTGGTCTGCCCTTTAACCACAAACTGCTCAACCCGGAGACACACCATCCAAATCAACATGCAACAGAAGGGCTGAACGTCGCACAGAAAAGGGGGAGATCAAAGGCTCGTGTCCAACAAAACTACAAGCACAAACATAGACCAATCACCGTGGACCAATCCCTCAGTCAGGAAAGAGCCTGCAGCCACAGTGAAAAGCAGTCTTTATGAACTTTGATACATAAGGAAACTGCAGAAAAAATGGATTGTATATTTGTTATTATAATGTTAGTTCCTCCACGAGATCCTGGAATGCCCTTTTCCGCAGGCTTTTCAAGAGGTCAAGGGGAGGTAGGTCAGGGGTCTTTGAAAACTCTTCAGTTCAGTTACAATCAATAGTAGAATTACAATATGAATATATACAAAGTGTACAAAATTCAAACACTATCTCGGTTCGAATACTCAGCGTGTGGTCTATAGGCAATCGGGTGAAAAGGTGAAAGGTGAAAACTCCGGTCAGCAAGTAATCCTTATCAAGATTCCGGTGTACTTCCCCTATCGGGGGGTCAAAGGTTTCTCTGACCGTTCATAGCTAGCCGTGTCCTGTATCGCATTCATTGTAAAGTCTACTGGTTGGCAGGTCCTCGTTGGTCTTTGTCGCAGGTCCTTGGTTTATCGTCGCATTTCGTTAAGTCAGGTCCCTAGATAAAAGGCTGACACAGATATTTACCTGTACAGAGCCTTATCTGGATACCAGATGAAAGGGCCACACAGATTTTACCTGCACGGTGCCTTGCCTGGTCCACAGCTGAAAGGCTGACACACTATATAACCTGTATGGTGCCTCGGTATGCCTAAATACCTCAACCGCCCTCAAACGGCCTCAACCGACCGCAACCGACCTTGTAATGGGTTAATATGCAGTATACATGGGCTAACAACCTTTTCCAACGCACTGGATACATTGTCTATGCTTATATGAATGGAAAAAAATTACTGTAACTCTGACGATTTTACCAGTTTTTTAAAAGTTATTCATCGTTGGGCCATCGTTGGGCCTGCATGGGGAATCACTGGACACTTTTTGCTTTATAAATACAGGCAACAGAACACAAAGATGTTGGTTTGTAAATCATAGTAAAGCACAAATACTATATTCATACCAACTCATAATAGCTATATACCGAGTGTTTTCCAGCCTGACTGACCAAGCTGCTAAGCACGTACATCGACTTGACCTCGGAACCAACCAACGAACTTCGGGGGGGGGTGGCTAGACAGAT